CCCCAAAACCCCAAAACCCCAAAACCCCATGATTGGGAATTTAATAGTCCACTAATGATAGTTGAACTTGTAAATATTAATGATAATAAATTGAATGTTTACAAGGAGGATTCCCACTTTAATGTTCCCAATAAGTAAGATTAAAATGGACTGGCTCATAACACCTTTTCTTCGGCTTTTAGTCTATGCCCCATACTGGCTTGATCAAGCCATACCTCCTTGTATTAATTTTTATTTGATTTGTCTTTACTTTTTTCAACACTTTATTGATCCTCAAGAAGCTTAGAAATCTTTTAAAGATTTATCTTCTCCAACTCCCTTTCAATTTATTTTTACATATGAACATTGTCACTCTTTCCTTTCATTTGTTCCATTAAGATTTTTCTCATATTTTCTTATTCAACCAATTTCTTGTCTCTCAAAAGCTGACTAATCTCTTCTGTTTCTTAAGGGCCATATGTGGTATTAGTGGGGATCTTAATCTCATTCTTTTGCAAATACTTCCTATACTATTCTTCTTTCATTTGTTGTTCCAAGATTTTTCTTGTCTCAAGCATTTGTTGTTTCTTTTACTACTCCATTTAGTGATAGTAACTGTTACTCTCTTCAACTTGTCTCTAAACTTCAGCAATGTTATCCTAGTTAAACTTCTTCTTTAACATAAGTTCTTATTCAAATCTTTATCTAGCATTAACTAAAGCATCTTGAACTTTCGTCTCATCCGCTACTCTTGATCTGTGAATATCATGTGGTTTAATGAAGTTAGGTTGCTCTTAAACAAATCTCTATCGTAATTCTTCTTATTTTTTATCTCCTTAAGGATGAAAATATGTTCTATGTGTAGCATTTAGCAACGATGGTGTGTTTGATCTCTGAGTGCTATCCCTATTCTGGTATGCTCTTTCAGTATAATCTCCAGATTGGCCTTTAACCACATTAGAGCTAGATCTAATGGCATTTTAGAGATCATCCCTTAGTTCTTGTCTGATATGCTCTCTCTGCTTTTCAATATGATCGCCATGTGTAAATGGGAAAAAATAAGTTGGACTTTCATTGAACTTAGCCTCTCTTTCCATTAATTTGACTTAATTTTTCTCGTGCTTACCCTCCTCAATGCCTTCTTTAAACTTGATTTTCTTAGTTTGAGAGGTTATATTCATCTTTTAGTTCTCAATTATGATTTACTAAGTGAGCTGCTCCAGATTTTACTTTTCCTCATCAATCTTTTATCTTCTATCTTCTAACTTCTTTCTTTCCTTATCCCTTATCTAGGTTAGATACTGATCTAGTAGTTCTTTTTAATTTTCAGCTTAGGTGGTTTGTGGAAACTTAATTCTCTTACCAGGTCTAGTCTTCATCTTCTTAGCCATAAACGCCTCGAATGTTTCATTACTAATGAATTCATTTTTCTTCATCTACTCAGCCACAAAGTCATAATCGCTGTTATTTAATCTTCCTTTTGAGAATTTACTATAAATTTCAGTCTTATTGTCATCCTAGTTCTTTTTAACTACATTACTCCATCTCTTCTTGCTCCAATCATTGACGGTTCTATTCATTTGTGAGTGAGTCTTACTATAAACTGATTTTTCCCCATATGTCTGTGGAGTTCTAACTGAGAACTAATGACTGTATCCTGCAATAGATTTAGAAGCGTTTGATTGCAATATAGAATAGGTTTCGTAGGGATTGTCATTCTAACCTTGTTGTAGTTATCTAGGCTCAAATCTCTCATTTTCATAATTTTCAGGTTAATCATAGTTTTCAAACTATAGGTCACCATTAGGAAATGAATGCAAAAAGCCAATTTTGAGGTCTAGTTTTATCTCCTTAGACTATCTTGAAACTTCAATCTATATATTTAGGTAAAATCAATCAAGCTAAGATTACAAATCTGTTGAATAATTCTTTCAAGATAAGCATCACTTGATCTCTATCTAATTAGCACACTTGAGCTATTGAACTTGCTGAAACGCTCACAGAAGTATTAATACTCTATTAATATTTTAATGTTGAGTAAAATTACCTAAACTTATTTATTCAGAGGGGAGACATTGCTATCATTTTCAAGAAACTTGAATCTTCCTGACTCAACGAAGTCAATGTGAGGCACAAATATTGTGATTTCCCTATCATTTATGTTCTTTTTAAGGAATCTACCAACTAAAGGGAAATCCACACATCTACTTTTATCACATTAGCTTTTGAGATATTTAGTTAAACCGCTCCAAACTTTGTAAAACTGCTTCATTGTTTCCTTATTTAATTCATTTTTGTTCTCTGGGTTCTAAACAGCAATAGAATGTTGCGAATGCAATTAGGCGATAAAGTCTTTAGTGTATTTGGGGCTCAAGACACAAAGCTTTATTAAATGCTTTTCTCCGAGAAAAGATTATTTCATTTTAATATCAAAAATAAATTATACTTAAAAAGACAACTTAATTACACAACAACAGCAATACCAATATTGTTTTAACTTGGGGTTTTGGGGTTTTGGGGTTTTGGGGTTTTGGGG